ACTGTTGTCGGCGTCATGCAAAACGCCGCCCTGGACTTGACGCTCGGCTGAGGCCAGCAAGGACACAGCTGAGAGATAGATCAACCTCTTGGACAAATTTGATCTTTTCGTGGAAGCAAAGCCCTTGGTACAATGTTTGCCTCTCGGATGAAAAGTCTTGTATCTTGTCTTGCCTGCGGGAATGCGCCCCGGATGTAGTACATGCTCATGACATGATCCTTGCAAAAGTATCGACTTGCGGCTTTATTTCGCGTGCGTGAAGCTCGTGCGGTTGCTTGATTCGGGTGGGGCAGGCCAGGGCGGAACTCGCGAGCTTTTGGGACCCGTTGCTTGTGCGAACAGAGCAGCGCGTGACGGGATGGTCTTTGCTTTCTCGTCTTGTCCGCCTCTTGTTCGGCTGTCGCAGAGCTGCGCAAAATCCCGAGTACCTCGAGCTAATCTGGATGCTTTGCATATTCAAAGCGCATCGATCTCTGCTGCTGGCTTGGGGGGGCAGAAGAAGGACAAGCTAGCCAGTCCAGTATGACTTTGCGTGCCATCGTAGCTTCAAATGACGCGATGCTCGCACTGTTCGCGCTGCGCCGTTCCACTCGCGGCCGTGCAAAGGCCTACAAGTCCAAGGAGAATGCATCCTCATCCGCTCTACCCCTTTCCCTCTGCGTAGCTGTCCACTTCCACACCTCCTCCTCCTGCTGTCCATTCGCATCCTGCGCATGTTCCTCCGGTGCCGTTCGCTCGGCCTCCTGACCAACCTCTCGCATTTCCCACCTGCGCTGTCTCCGAAAGTCGTTCCAGCTAGGCGGGTCGGAGCCTAGCGATCCTGAGCGCAATATGTTCTGGGACGGGTAGGGAAGGTGCTGCTCTAGTTGAGAGGCGTGTTGAGGCGTGGGCGTGGGAGAGCGAGAGAGGGTTCGAGGTTCTTGATTTGTGTGTGCTACTGTTGGCGCTTCTTCGCCATTGACACCCGGCGCTCGACCTTCTGCCATCCGATCATCAGCATTCGCCTCCGCCTTGTTCACTTTTGCCTTCTTGCGCCCAGTCGAAGAACCAACGCTTCCCCAAGGTTTACTCGTCTGATAGCCTACCACGCTGGCAAGATTTAAGAGATGCTCCACGTTCAAAGGTCTCTTCATAGCCCTCGTCGAGCCTTGTACTTGCGCCTTTGCATTCCTGACCAGATCTCCCAGCTCCGTGTTGAGATCACTGACATCTTCAAACGCTTTGGAAAATCGGGATGAGAGCAGGTGGACGCGATCGGTTTGCTGCGCGAGAGAATCGTGTGCTGCTCGGTGGAGGGAGATGAAAGGTAGAAGAGAACGAAGTGCCAGGTCGGCTTGCTGCAGCTGAGCGAGAGTGTCTTGCGCCCGAGTGTCCTTCTCGGTGCTGGGACCAGCACGTGCTGCGGCCTTCTCAGCCTCTGCATGGTCGCTTGTACTGACAGAGCTCAGCAAATGGCGTATCGACTCTGGAGTATCAATGACTGCGGTGGAGCTGGTGAGCAGCGCATGAGATAGCTCGGCATGATGATCCAACAGATCCAACAGTACACGCTTTAGCGCGATCTGGTCCAAGTCCAACTGATGTGACGCCATCGTTGCCATCGATGATGGGAGAGAGGTGCGCGTATCGGGTCTATGCGTCGGTCGCGTACCCTGCACCACCCAAGACTGGCAATGAAGCGCTCCGCTTTGAGACGGGATGCCTGCTGGTCGGCGGGACAGACGATCAGCGGACCAAAACACCCACAAGGCTCGCGCTAATGTGCACTCGCTTTGAAAGTTAGCCTCCCATCATCAAGTCAAGCTGTTCAAGCAGCACCTTACTCGACACCAAGCTCGAAATGATGGTTATGGTGAGACGACGAAGGTGTGCTCGATGCCTGAGCATTGCAGTGACGGTCACGAGTCACGAATCTGACAGACCAGCCCAGTCTACGATTGCATATGCTGGTGGAGGTGAGCGGGGGAAGGGCGGCAGCCGCGCACGCACCGCGCTCCAGCCAAGAGCTGTGGGCCTGAACATCCACGTGGGGTGCGGGACCACATACGCGTCCCACTCCTCTCTCAGCTGCACGCATGCTCCGCGTGTGATGAGAAAGCTTCGGGTCAAAATCAATTCGAAGGCGAGTTGATGATGCTCATTCAAGATTCACGATTCACGAGTGTATTCACAACTTGGAGAAGCATCATTTGTGTCCTGCCACGCCTTTGCAAAGTGGTTCGTATCTCAATCTCATCTTGGCTTCATCCATCGCCCTTCTTTGCATGTTGCCACCTTCACTTCTTCGCCCCTTGCCACACTCCTA